CCTGGCTGGAGAACCTGGATAACCTGGCTGGAGAACCTAGCAAGAGAACATGGACACAGAACTTGGCTGGAGATTGTGGCTAGAGATCCTGGCAAGGCTGCTGATCAACTGAACGCTGTCTCTGTGTCATTCCTTCTTTGCCGACTCCGTCCACACCTTTGGAGACCCCTGGACCTGCTGGGGTTGGACCCCAGCAAAATGTGACTTGATTTCCTGGCGACCATGGCATGCAAATCACCCACAATTATACAGTTGAATTAAATTTTAAAACCAAACTGTTAGCAACTCCTCCTTAGAAAATGCTTAGTTTAGCTCTGTAATGTTAAAGTGTATATATTCAAGTTCCCATTTTCTCTTATGCTAGAGGTAACATATACTATCTAATAAAAGTGTAATATGCAAATTAACCATCACTCCATCACAAAGATGGCGGCGCCGAGTCCTCTCAGCCCCACTGGAGTCCCCCAGTCCTGGGGGGTGGGGGGGCGGCCATTGAGAGTGGGCAGCATGAGCAGCCTGGTGGAATGCTTGCTTCATCGCCATGGCGACGAGGCAAGCATTCCACCCAGGCCACGGAGGGCCTCTGGGCAGCAGGCACGGAGCGGCCAGGGCGGGTATGGAGGTGGGGGGGAATGCTGGGCAAGCGTTCCATGCCCAGCCACAGAGGGCCTCTGGCCAGGCTGGGTGTGGAACACTTGCATCGTTGCAGACCGGGCTGAGGGATCTCCCCGCCCCATGCATGAATTTCGTGCACTGGGCCTCTAGTTTTATTAATATTAAGGCAACATACACCATTGAGAAAGTTACATGATGTTGCATTCTAAATTATAAACTTCCTCTTGCTATTCAAAGACCTACATAACAATACATTTTTGAAAACTTAATTTAAAAATGCTTACTACACAGAAACAAAATTACACTACTGCTAAAAACAAGCTATAAGCTAAAAACACAGAGCTCAGTGAAGCAGAGCACATTTCTGTGAAGCCAATTTTTCAATTTCCAATACAAGTAAAGATCTAAAATGAAAAAAGTCAATGCTGACATATATGCAAAGCTAAGAAGAAAGCATTTTAATCCCTCACCATTATGAACACTTGCACCAACTTCCCCTTGTCTAAAAAAGCTAAGCTGAAGATGATTTTGTTCAGCTCTCTGAACTTGAACACTGAAGTTCACGCTTAACTTGGCCTGTCCTGGGAGACTAGTGGCCCAGGCAGTGTTGGGGAGACAGTGTCAACCACTGTGACACCAATGCATCTTCCCACACAGGAAAAGCAAAGACCATTCAACCGAGCTTTTCTCCACTGCTTACCGGTTATAGAGATGGGTGAACAACACATCAAATGCAGGAAAGTACCAGCACCCAGGCCAAAATTCCACTCCCTTCTGCAACTGGACTTTCCGTGACTGGCTCATGATACTCCACATGACCTCCAGAGGTATATGGGGACAACCCTGACCCTCAAGAGTGAGGCTTCATTCTCAGAGATATCTAAGCTCTAAACTCTGAAGCTGGCTCTACATCCAGGCGAGGGGAGGGGTAGGAGGGCATAGCTGATATCCCATCATATATAGCCCCTAGAAGCTCTGGAGGTGCGAGCTGGGTGGGAAACACAACAGTAGTATATTTAGCAACACCCAAGAACAATGTTTTAAAAATTTGTTTTTATTCACAGATCTTTTGAGAAGCCACAACTTTCATCAGAATCTCAGCCCAGAAACACATAAATACACATAAAGTGTTGCCTTCAATTTCAGAGGAGTTCACAGACATGCTCCCACTACCCACCCACAGCCAGCCTGTGGACCGCAGATTCAAACCCTCTCCCACCATCAGGCAGGTGGGCAGAGAAGAGCCACGGAGCAGTCTTGCTTCTCACTTCCCTAAGCAAAGACATGGACATAGCATAAGTTTCAAATATAGGAGTGGGGTGAGCAGGAGATGAAGCATAAGAGAGCCGCTGATACAAGCAATGAAGAAGCGTCCACAAAAACAAAAGCAGCCAACTGAATCTGATCTGACCTACGAGGTATTTAAATGGGGCTCACCTCAGGAGCCATCCTCAGGGCTTAAGGCGGGTAGGGGAGGATGCCAGTCAACCACAGCTCTCAAAAGAGCTAGAAGGAAAGAAAAGAAGGAAGAGAAGGATGGAGGGGAAAAAGATTTAGAAAGTAGCTTATCCATATGGTTTTTATGTCATTCTTTGTACTTCTCTCTCTTATGAAATGCAGTGAACTTAGTCTAAAGCAGCGATCTTCAACTAATGGCACACAAAACTAATTACAGTGGGGCCTTGATTTACGAGTGTCCCGACTAACGAGTTTTTCGAGATACGAGCCGTCTCTCGACCGATTTTTTGCTTTGAGTTGCAAGTTAAAATTCGGGTTACAAGCCAGCTTCAGATACCCCACCACTAGTTGGTGCAGTGAACGCCACATCAGCCCAGCATCACATGTCTCACTCGTTCACTTCTTGATTTGACATATGAGTAATTTGAGTTACGAGCTCCGTCACGGAACGAATTAAACTCGTAAGTCAAGGCCCTACGGTACTAAAATTCTTCGGCACACAAAAAATATATTTGGCCGATCTGACAAAAAAAACAGATATAATTTTTATCACATTGGATGCTATTGTTGTATTGGCTGCTATTATTTTTTCTTTAATCCTCACCTGAGGATATTTTTTCCATTGATTTTTTAGAGACAGTGGAGGAGAGAGGGAAAGACAGAGAGAAACATTGGGGAAAGAGAGCGGGAGAGGGGAGAGAAGGGAGAGAGAGAGAAAGAGAAAGAAAGAGAGAAACATCAATGTGAGAGAGAACATTGATTGATTGCCTTCTATACCCGAAACCTAGGTATACAGGATGATGTTTCAACCAATTGAGGCACACCCGCCAGGGTGGCTGTTGTCATTTTTTCATTTGATAATCTAAGAGAAAAGAGGTCAGAGCTCTTAACTCAATAGTCAGATACTGCATGTTTTAAAAATTCTTCCAGCCCACCCGTTGAAAATCACTGGTCTAAAGGAATCAGTATCTTACAGCACTGCCTAGGTCAGCAGTTCTCAACCTGTGGGTCGCGACCCCTTTGGCGGTGGAACAACCCTTTCACAGGGGTCGCCTAAGACCATCTTGCCTATCAGATATTTACATTACGTTTCATAACAGTAGCAACATTACAGTTATGAAGTAGCAATGAAAATAATTTTTTACCCAACTATTAGATTGCATATTTCATCATATAAGAACTGGTGTGCACACATTATATTGCAAACTATAAAATAAGCAGTTTATAGGATGCAGTTTCTCTAGCCCTTAAGAAAATATCACAGAGGAAACATAATAGCCTCACTGCCTATATAACAGGGAAGAAAGCGCAACAATGAAAGATGTGATGTTCGACAGCTGGAGACATCATAAGTCATCTTCATCTCCTTTCCCTTGCTCCCTCTTGTTCTCTTATGAGTTAGAGTAAAATCATCAATGACAACAAAAGCAGGAAGAAAAAGAAATTAAGCTCTAAATAAACTGCAAAATGAAACATCTAGTCCAGGAAAACAAAATTCTGAAGTTTGCTGTCATAATTCATGTCCCTCTGCCTGCTTTGCTGAGGAAGCCAGAAAGAGCCTGGAGGAGGTTCCCACCCAGGCACCAGGGAACGTGGCCTTGAAACCTACTCCCCCTGTCTCCCTGGGCAAGCTGTATCTTTCCATCTGCAACTCAGTTTCCTAATGGGTACAATGACAAACCTAGGCTGAGCTTTTTAGATTCCTTTCAGCTCTAAATCTATAATTCTACTGGCAGAAGACAGAAGAGGCCACAAAACCTTTTCATCAGGAAAGGGTGCTCCTTCCACACCATGACCCATTTCCCCGGGTACTCAGACTCTGGAAACCACACGCAGCAGGAAAAGCTGCCAAATAACTCTATCCTTTCGGGAAATAATGCTCACTTCATCACTTCTGCATCACCCAAGGGGCACGAAACTGCTCGGCAGAGGCTGAGGAGCAGCATCTGAGTGGCAAGGCCATTAGATGGGGGCAGAAGTGAGGCGGTAGCTGTTAGGCACCGGCATGGGCTGGGGTGTGGGGGGCCCGAGAGGTGGGTGCAAAGAGGCAGAAAGCACTATTTTACAGGCTGCAGAGTCTGAGGTAGGTCTCCAACTCAAGGAGCAAAACTGAAGCCACAGGTCACATCAGCTCACACATGGGCCCGTTACTGGTTTCAATTAATATATCTCTGTGTGTGTGTGTGTGTGTGTGTATCCTATATAATAAAAGGCTAATATGCAAATCAACCAAACCGCAGAATGACCTGTCACTATGATGTGCACTGCCCACCAGGGGGCAGATGCTTAATGCAGGAGCCTCCCCCTGGTGGCCAGTGCACTCCCACAGCGGGAGCACCGCTCAGCGAGAAGCTGGTCTGGTGAGCGCAGTGGAGGTGGCAGAACCTTAAGCCATCAATTGGACATCTCCTGAGGGCTCCTGGACTGTGAGAGGGGGCAGGCTGGGCTGAGGGACCCACCCCCTAACCCCCGTGCGTGAATTTCATGCACCAGGCCTCTACCACACACACACACACACACACACACACACACATAATGCTATTTTAAAGTCAGGACATTTCATACAAAAGTCCGAATATCTGTTTGTTTTTTTAATATAGAACAGCCAACTACTATAGGCTGAAACTTAGACTACCCCAGGAGAGAACACCTACCTGGCCAGCTTTCCCAAGGTTACCTACCCCCTCACTCCTGGGGGCCAGAGTTTGAAACCTCCTACTCTAAATACTTGCCAGTGGCCCCTCATTAAGTGTGGATAACTACAGCGCAAAGGGTTTGGGTGCTCAGTAAATGAGAATGTCATCGCCCATGGTAAAGAACCCGCAAAGGAGAGTATTACAATACACTAGCTGCATAACAATCCTGCAAAGGACCCCTCTTTAGGAAATGCAAAACTTTATTTTAAAAAAAAAAGCATTTAAACACACCTTCCAAATTCAGCTTTCCTGCCAATGGAGTTATCTGTCAAACCGGTTATCTGAATGCTTTCCTCAATTTGGGAATTCAAAGGCATTTCTATGTGCCGACAGCTTGGAAAGTGGAGAAAAGTCTCAGCCTTCAACTGTGGATTCTGCTCCCACCCCATCCCCGGGCAGAACCTATAAACGCTTCTGATTGCAGCCGCTGTGTCACAGCCCCGCGCGGCACGGGTCTACCCCGCACTCCCTTCCGTTAACAAGCAGCCCGACTGGATCGGACTCCGCGCCAAGACCAGCAACAGGTGGGACGCTCATCAGGCGGCGACTCGCCTTCCAGAACACACCTGCCGCGTGGCTCCATTTTCCTACCAGGTCGGAGGGAAAACCCGCTGGTCTTAGTGATAATGCATCGCGCTTCCCGGGTTTGTTTCCCAAGTTTCTGGCGCCTTCTTAAACTTCAGAGGTACGCAGACAGACAATCTGGGGGGAGGAGGCACCAGGGGACCGTACCTGGGAGAGGGTCCCTCCGGAAAACCCTGGTACTCGGACACTGGTTCCAAGTGTCTCCGAACGCCTCTGCCCCGACCCCCTGACTTAGAACCGAGGGTCCGCCGGGCCCTTCGCCCGCCCAGCCTCCCGGAGGGGATCGAGCTCGGTCTCCCCTCCCACCTCGCCGCGCCCTGCG